CTGCCGCAGCCTCGGGCAGGGTTTAGGGGAAAAAAAAGCTCCCCTCCATCTCAGTTTACCTGGTATTGGCACAGTAAAGGAAGAGCTGAAATCGTAGCTGGCAAAAAAAATCTTTATCTCCATATGTGTAAATGTTTAATTCATTATATTTTTAATTTAGCAATGCTCGAGTAAGCTTCAGGATGTTTAGTACAGGATACTACTGCAGTAGAATCATCATCTCTGCCCAAATCTTGCTGTGCAATGGGAAATGATGATTGCAGCAAGGCAGCGTGTATGCGGGGGGAGGATTCAGAGGCACACTCAGGTCTAAATTGCAAAATGTAAAGTGAATGGGTCTCAAGTGGACCGGTCCCTCAAAGCAGAGCAGTGAGAACGTTTTTGTGAATCTGAAGCTTAGTTCATGAATATGCCTATTTATGTCTGCGTTATATGTGTGCAAGCTGGTGCTATTTGCCTACAGTTTGACACCAGAGCATTCACAGGCAGAATTACCCATTAGTAATTCCCATAAGAGTGCTTTTCGCTTTCTCCGGCTCGCTGCTGTGGATGTCTAATCAAACAGTGCTTTTTCCTTTGTTTGTCTTTGTCTGTGCTGTTGGTTTTTTTACTTTTACCGTTTTTCTGTCGTGCAGACCCATACATTTCTTCATATAATCACCCAGTCGTGCCTGACGCTAAGCACGATAGAGGACGGCACCCACGGTCCCACTGTGGAGGCTTGCAATGGCAGCCCCTTGCAAACGTGGATGCTGAGAAACTACACGAGGCTGGAAGTCTTTAGAAACATTTTTTACAGCTCCACTGACTATTTCCTTTAACAAATGGTTGGAGGTTGGTATTAAAAACAAATATAACATGTAATGATTTTGAAGCTAGAAAAATGCTTCTCCATTCTCTTCTTATTAAACTCAGCCGCATTCCTTTCTTGTTTTCTCAGATGATTGTATAGATATATAATGTTATACATGTTTAGGGTTAGTTATTTTTAATTATAACTAATTTTAGATTAATTCAACTGTCTTGAGCTACCCCCATGATCTGTTGATGTCAGTGTGATTGTTACTCTTTGCGATAGCTGAAGCTTTGGTCCCTATTCCAGGAGATGTAAATAATGCCAATTGCATCCTATTTTTCAGAAACGTTCATTTTGAAAATTCCCAATTTTAAGTAATTCAGTCCTAGAGATATTAGTCACAGATAATTTCAAAACATTCACCACTGAAGGAATGAAAACCTTGTGCCAACCGCTGGTCTTCTTTCCCGGGCAGTTTTGCTGGGTAACGTAAGGGATAGCGATGGGGCAGTGCACCTGCAGGGGTATGGGGAGGGGTTGCTCTCGTTTCTTACCTGCTCCCCAGTCAAACGGCGTGACCGCCGTCTCCCAGCGCATCCCACCGAAACCCGTGAACGCCGCTCTGGGTGGTGGCAGGCCCCCGGTAGCGGTGGCCCGCGGGATCCCAGCAGGTGACGTGGGGTTGCAGCCTGGGCGTCACAGCCGGCAAAGCCGGGGGCCGGCCACGGGCAGCACGGGCAGGGGCACGTCCTGCCCCGCTCGAGCACGCCTTGCAGAGGCTATTTCAAGAAATGGCTTTTGCATTTTCCAAGCACCTCTTCTGCTGTGAACAACATTTTGCTGGTGTCCACAGAAGTCACTTTTTAAAACGGAGAACTTCCACAGTTGCTGCTGCTATCTATAATGACCACTGGAGCAAAGCACTGCTGGGGTAAAGGATCTGTGCCCATCATTTTGCCATGATGTACTCCCAGTCTTCACTCATCAGAGCTGTTATTTGCATACATTTGGTAAGCGGGAAACTACAGAGCTTGCTCCGGTGCACCTGCGTGTCTGTACAGCTAGCTTTGCATCCCTGCCTCTGTTCTCACCGTCGAGTAGAACAAAAATCTTAGGCTGGCTTGTATGAGTATCATATTGCCTAGTAATTAATTGTTTTCCAAGCAAACGAGACCATTTTTGTGGTAGCATAAATAACGATAGAACACAGAAAGAAAAAATTTATGAGAGAGTTGAAAATCCCAATGATATGGTAGTCTAGCATGAAATTATACACTGAACAAAAGGGAGCAGCTGAGGAAGGCAGCAGCAGGGTTTTTAGACTTGTTTGCATTTCTGGTTATAGTAGAAAATGATAGCAGCTTAATTGCACTTAAAACAATATAAGTGAAGAATCAGTGATACTTTGAGCAGTGCTATTTAGTAAACAAGCTACTTCTGTTAGCGCTACTAATTCTTTCCTCTTGTAATTAGAGGAAAAAATGCCTTATATTCATCACTGAATGCATATCAAATGGCCCCTCGGTGATTTGTTATAATATCTGCAGGCTTTTCTTTGAGAATTGCGTAACAGTTTGTTTTAAACTGAGGAGCGAATCTCTAGGGACGAGCTATTGAAAGAATATTCATAACACAAATTAGGAGTGTTAATATGTGACATGGCAATCTGGTAGCTGCAGTGTAAAATTATACAGTGCAATAGCACAGGTATATGTTTTGGTAATAAAACCGCATCGCTTGTTGGCAGTCTTAGCATTTCCCAGCAGTTAAATTGAAACACCAGACAACAGTCTTTTTTTTTTTTTTTTTCATATGAAGATAGACAAATGGTGTTTATTAGCGGTGAGACTGTGTCAGAGACAGCAGTTGCTGAAGTGACTCCTTATTTGCATCAGTTAGAGTAATGTTGTTTATATTTTATTACAGTAGCATTTACACTCGTGGGTGTGTGCGAGGGAGCAAGCAGCCTCCACCGCTCTGGTAGCCGCTGTCTGGAAGGAGCCCTCTGCAATGCTGCTGCTGCGAGGCTTCGGGTCGGGCTCTGCTATCGCGGGCTTGATTCATCCTTACCCCCTCCTCCAGGAGGCTGCAGAATTTTGCCGCCCAGCCTTGTTCCCCTGTTTGTTCCTTTGCATGGTGTTTGACATAAAATTGGTCTCTGCTCCAGTGGAAGATCTGCAAACAAGATTTCAGTCCTCAAATCACCTCTTCCCTTGGTGGTTCTTGCTGGGGCAGGGTTATAATCCCTGTGGAGCTGCTGCACAACAGCTCAGACCTGGTTTGACCACTTTACCTGGACCATTTTAAACTTACCTGTGTAAGTTGCATGGCTATTTTTAAAAGCAATGGAAGGACAGAGTCTATATAATCCCATGGGGCGGCGGAGCTAGTGCAGGACCCGTCCCTCGTGCAGGACCCATCCCTTGTGCAGGACCTGTCCCTCGTGTGGGACCCATCCCTCGTGCAGGACCTGTCCCACAGCGGGCAGCAGACCGCCCTGCGGCTTCATCTGCCTTAGTAAGCAGTGCAGAGAAGAGGAGCGGGTCCGTGCGGGGAAGCGAAGCCTGTGAGCGCAGCTCTTGGTCTCATGGTAGGAGATGGGCACCCGTGCTGGGTTTGCTCTGCCAAATCTGTGGCATGGCCTTGTGGAATCACAGAACCACAGAATGGTTTGGGGTGGAAGGGCCCTTTCCAGGCCATCCAGTGCATCCCCCTGCCATGGGCAGGGACATCTCCAACCAGACCAGGTTGCTCAGAGCCCCATCCAGCCTGGCCTTGGATGTTGCCAAGGATGGGGCATCTCCCACCTCTCTGGGCAACCCCTGCCAGTGTTTCACCACCCTCATTGTGAAAATTTTTTTCCTTGTGTTCAGTCTAAATCTCCCCTCCTTTAGTATAAAACCATCACCCCTTGTTTTCCCCTGTTATGGCCATGGAGGGAGAAGAACCAATCTTTAAAACACTGGGGGGCGAGCTAAACAAAGGCCAAAATCATGATTTTTCTGCATTGGGTGCAGTAGCAAGCACAGATGTTTACTTCAGAAGTATGAAGCCGATACTGGGCTTGTAAGGCCATTGATAGCGTGGCCATTGTGCTGTGTCGGAGTTGCGCAGGGCTCGTCTGGTGTAACCCTGCCCCGATCCGGGCTCTGAGCTCTGGCCAGGGCAGCACGGGGTGCCGGGGTGGCCGGCGGGGATCCGGCGAGGCGGTCCCAGCCCTGCCAGCACAGATTCATCTTCACCCTCCGCCCTGCGCAGACCACGCCGTCCGGCAGCGCTGCGCTCCCCTGGCTCCCGCGTGTTTCACCGTGCGGGTTACGCAGACGGACGGCTGCTGACTTAACGTGTGTACAGGTGCATGGGCAGATTTGCATATAATACGGTTTTAATTGCTTTTTCAGGAACTGAAAGACCTTTTAGGAAATAGTAAATTGGTAAATGCAACACTTGATAGCAAAGGCATTTAAGGTGTGTGCTTAATTGCTGTGATTTTGTGTGTAAAAGCCCCAGATCAACCCCGGGGGAGCAATGGAGGGAGCACCTCCTGCTCAGCTGCAATGGGCCTGTCTTCTTCTAAGTACACAACTTCATGTTTAACTGCCCTGCATCGCTTTATGTTCTCCCAGTGCTTTTGAACAAAAGATGATTTATTTCTTCAAAATAAGTTCTATTTCCCTTCTGACTCTCTCATTCCTCAGAAATACAGTGTCATGTGGTAGGAATAGAAAGGGGTGGGTGTCCCAAAGAAGAAAAATTGTATTGGAAACAGAAGAGTTTCCATCTGTACGTTACTGTTGCTCATATAATACTTAGCAAATTTCCACTGATCTGAAATGCACATGTGTTCAGGTTGCTGGAGTCTAAGCTCCTTAATCCAAATACTGTTGCTTTGAAATAATATTTCCATGCACTTATTTTGCGCTTCTCTGTTGGATTTATTTGTTGCTGGGTTCAGCCCCGGGTTGCCTGGCCATATGTATGTGGCCATATGTATGGCCACATGTAAGAAGGTGAGCTGAGCACCCGTGGAGCAGCAAGGAGCGTGGTGGAGCTCTTGTAAAGCCATACGAGTGGCAGCCAGGGATGGGTACCTGTCTCGTGGCTTGTGTAGTCACTAGAATAATACTGGAATAAGACCGAAAATGCAATTACTGGTTTTCAGCCGTAATTATCTTGCTGCAGCTCTTACCCTTCTCTATTGCAGAAGCTCACCCTGAGGCATATCAACAGCAACCAGTGTCTGGATGAGCCGTCGGAGGAGGACAAGATGGTTCCCACCATGAGGGAGTGCGGTGACAGCCGTTCCCAGCAGTGGCTGCTGCGCAACATGACCCTGGGTGCCTGAAGCCGGCACAGAGCTGCTGCTTCGGCCAGGCCGTCCTCCTCCTCCTCCTCCCCTCCTCCTTGCTGAGGCCAGCGATGCTGAAGCCCCCTCCAAATCCCAGCTGTCAGAGCAAAGTCACGGGACGTTTTCCTTGATGCGGCAGGTCTCCACGTGCCCCTTCGAAACCTGTGACTGTTCAAAAGAAGCTCATCTGAGCCTATAAATGTCAAAACGTGCTGTTATCAACACAAATGTGCTCAAAAATGGTTCCAGAGAAACCTCTATGAACCCTGCGTCAAAGAGGTTGGGATGGAGGGTGTTTTCTGTGCGTCACACACCACTACGGAGAAGTGACCCAATATAAAATGCCTTATGACACTAACTGGCACTGGAACCATCCTGGCAGGCTTCTCCTGGGCTGGATGTGCTGGTGCTGGTCTTTCTTGGCAACGCGGAGGGGATATTTGCTGTTCTCCCGTGTCGAGTGGGACTCGGCAAAGAACCACGCTGAGCAGCAAAGTCACCAGACGTAGCGAAAGCTCTGTGGTTCGTGCCAGGAAAAAAATGGGATCTGGTGTTTGGAAAAGCAGCAAAACTGAGCAAAGTCTGCACTCAGAAACTGAAATTAAATCAAATGAGGCAACAGCAAAAGACGCGGGAACAATGTCAGGAAGGAGGAGTGACACACATGGGTAACTCAGACCAGTGCAGATTGAAATGTCCTCTGCAGCGGGAAGAGAAATGGCTGGGGCTGACCCGGGGAGCTGCAAGGGGGTTGCAGATGGAGGTACCAAAAACTGAGACCACTGGAGTCGGAGCGTTGGGCTGAACTCGATCCCTCGCTGCTACCCTTAAGCATTAGTGTATACCTGCATCCCGTATAAGACACAAACAAGAGCTTCATCCGTGGATCCGCTTTGCACAGAGGATGAAACTGGATCGACTCTGAGTTCTGGCTCCAGATGTTCTTGCTTCGATAGCGATGACAGATGTTTATTTATATTTTTAATAATTTTGTGGCTTAATCATTTTGTTAGCGTGGTTATTAAAAATGTGCTGATGGGACGCAGTCGTGTCGGAGGCGTTGCGGGAACTGACACCGTGCCGGCCCACGGCGGGGTGTGGGGAAGGGTCCTATACATACAGGTGACATTTCCTATATGTACTGGTGACGTATCCTCCAGTGACCCCAGCAGCATGCGCTCCCCAAAACGCATCTTGCTCAACGGGCTGGGCTGGGTTTTCGGCACAGTCTCACTTCCCATTGCCTAGAGGGTTCAAGAGACCTAAATCACAGGGCAGCAGCCACAGCGTAATTTCAGCACGGGTAAGTGGTGAAATGGTTTCCCATTATTTCACTCACAGCTCCTCAAAAGGTCTGTTTATGCACTAGGTCATTAAAAATGACAATATTTTCTGTATAATGCTCTGGTTGTTATGGATTAATAGTGTCATATATATGTACGTATTATAAATTTATAGATCATCCATATTTTCTTGATACACATCATTAAATAACAAATATTAAATTGGATATTAAATTGGAAAAGTGATTGCTGTGCATGCATGGGAGCTAGAGTGTCGCAGGTTAACCTAGATTGGAAGCTCATCTAGTCCAGCCTCCCTGCTCCAAGTAGGGTCAAACACTTCCAGTTCTCATCTTCAAGTCGCCACAAAGGTACACAACATGGCTTAAAAGCTAGCAAAACAGGAGAAGGCTGTAATTCTTCTTTGTAGAAAGAGCATGCAAACGTCACGAACAAATTTAAACACCAATCTCTATGCAGAAAAAAAAAAAAAAAATTGTTTCTTCATCACCTTTCCAAGGGCTTTTGCCATGTGAACAGCCACTCCTGCTGGGAGGTCAGGTATCCAGGCACCTGCCTTTTGCGTGTCATTGCAGAAGTAAATGTTGTGGAAGGTCCTACAGCATCCAGGAGCGTTAGGAGAGGGCGGCTGGCGGTGCCGTGGCTTCTGGCTGCCTCCAGTCTTATGAAATGCCTGTGGCTGGGAAGGGTGGAGGCTGCCACGTCTCCTACACTGCCCTGTTCAGGCCACGAGGTTTTCTTGATGTTGAAGCTGGACGGTGATGGCAAGGTGCCGTCGGTGTGCAACTAGGCTTGAGGTGCAATCTCAAAAACAGATGAAGAAAAGAATATTTTTCTCCCTAGAATTACTATAAAGGTTAATATTCTTGTGAAGTGTATAACCCCTTGACTCAGATAGCAAGCTTGCAGTGTTTGGGTATGGTCAGCACTGCTGCATCCTTGCTTGGGGGGAGGGAAGGAAAGAGATGCCGCTGCGTTTGATTGTGCTTCTTGAGGAGCGAGTGTGCGTATCCCTCGCGGCCAGAGCAGAAGGGTTGCTGGAGGTCTTCGGCACGCTAGCAGGATGGCCTGACACCTAGAAATTATGCTCAGAGCTAAAAAAAGCACTGAAGTACCTGTTCAGCTTCAGTAACGGCAAGTATTTCCATGGGCTTCAAGGGGCCAGATCCTGGAATTATCTCCTCGGTAAGGATACAGATACCCCATGAATCTCATTGCAGAGGAATTTCGTACAAAGCCTCATTTATGGAGGGTGAGGTGGTGATGGTGAGGGTGCCTTAAATGCTGGTACGGCATCAGAGATGGTGAATGATGGGGTTTGGTGAAGGAATGTAAGTCACTGCACGCTTGGACCCCTGCCCTTCCTCCTGCCACCGAATTCAGGTGTTGCCTTGGCAAGTCATTTGGGCTGAAATCATTTAAAATGGCTCATTTGGTTGCCTCTGGTGGTGAGCGTCTGAAGTTCAGTGCCCACAAATGGACCCCAGCCGAAAAACACCGGTTGGTCTTTGTTTCCCCGTTTATAAAGTATCTCAGAAAGGTGTTGGGAGGATTGACTTCTGTTTGCACAATGCGTTTAAAATATAAAGAACTCTACAAATGCTGAATATTTATTGCTTTCACTGGAAGAGTGTTGCTGGTTCTCATATTTTTTAAGGCTTGCTTGGATGAAATGAGAGCGAGCTGTAATGCTGGGTGGCATCAGCAAAGTGAGCGTTTTGAAGGGTAAGTTGAACCGCAAACACTGTAAAAAGCTGTGTTCCGTTTTCTCTCTACATACGCATCGCTTTCTGGCGGTCCGCGGAGGGAGGGGAGCCGGGTACAACCCCAGAACCAAAATGGGCATTTGGATCCATCGGCCTAGGGGGTTTCTCCACCGATGCACATTTCCCAGTCACCAGGAGGATTTATTTATTTGTTGCCCTCTAATACGAATAGAGCTTTGAAGGAAAGCTGCAAAACTCCATGTCCTGATTATTTTTCTTTGAAAGCAGAGAGCTGATCCCATCCCGCGCCCATGGGCTGCATCTCGTGTGGGTGCTGGGCAGAGCCTGACACGAGGCGATGCGCAGAAGGGCAGAGCTGTTGACCAGATTGGCCCAGTTTGGGGAGATAACCGGGAGCTGGGCAGTGCCGGTGGATGCCACAGCCCGCTCGTGACGCTTGGCATTTCTTCGGGTAGCTGACGGCCTGCCCGCAGCTAACACAGCTGGTGAGACTACACCACGCGTAACCTGCTACTACCTACCAGCTCCTGTATGACCGACGGTGTTGAGTGAACACCAGCAATGTCTTCTAATGCTTCTGTGGCTTTCTGTGTCCGTGCTTCTTCTCCAACGTGTCATAACATCCAGCCAGAACCATTGCTCCGATACGTGGCCACCCCCATTTTATTTTATTTTTTCTCCGCGAGCACGTATTCAGGACAGCTCGGTGAGCGGCGCCTTGCAAAAAGGCCACGGTACTCTGAGATACAAAGTTTATTTGGAAAACGTTGGAATTCTGCTCGGTGTTTACTGAGGCAGGAAAAAAAAGACGGAGGTGTGGTGGTTTGGAGGACACGCTTACGAAGGCTCCTGAATAAGTGCTGGGAACACAGATTTCAATTAAATTTATAAAAGTAGATTGTGGGTAAAGAATTACACATTTTAAATGTTGTAACAGTTATTATATGGTATACTGGTACTCTTTGCTGTACATTTAAATATTTATACATTTTTGTAGAATTAAAATATATTGGTTTAGTTTTCTTCTGGTGCCTTCGTCTTTTTCTGCATGCACTTATCTTTTTATATGGTAAAAAACCCAGACTTTCCACGACAACCCCTATCTTTTTAGATCCTTTATTTACACGTACAGCTTCAGAGACGGGCAGAAGAGCTTTCCCTGCCGTGGTGTGAGCGATGGAGATGGGGCCGTGCGGGAGAGCAGCGGGGCGGGTCGACGCGGGCGTTTGGCTGGCCCTCGGTGGCGTTTAAGGCTCAGTTTTCCAGACATCCCCTGGAAAACGTCGGCATGCAAGAAAACCACACTTGCCCGTGCACCAGAGTTGGAGGAGGCACGCCGGGGTCTGCATCTCACACTTGAACCCCAGGTTTTTGCCCTGCTCTGCTAGATATTGCCCGAGTGCTGCATTAACCGTTTGTGTTTTGGGAAAAAAATAACAATTCAGTAGGAAAACAGTCGTTTCCGTGTAAATCCTGCTTCAGTTCTGCCTGCAGCGGTGCCCAGAAGGGCCGGCTTGGACAGTCGTGCACATGCTCCCTGATTAGGGAGCTGTAAGAAAAATAAAGAATCTGGTTATATATATTATAGCTAATAGATGATGTCGGTAATGGAGCTTTAGTCTCATTTTGGTGGTCGGAGGATTTTCTTTACGTCGCATCTTGAATCCTGAAGCGGCTGGGTAAGTTCTGGTAAGAAGGGAGGAGGGAGAATATTTTAAAACCAAGGGATTTACAAACATAACTGAAAATTAATCCTCAGGAGACTGAGAGGGAAGCGATCTGTTCATCTCACCACTGTAGTGGAAGTGATTCCTCAGAAATTTTAGCACAAATAATAGTATGCCAATATTGAATTATTTTGGATTTTACCGTTAATTTCAATTGCTGGACAAAGTCAAGCCTTTTTGTTAGCAAGCCTTACAAAAAGTAAAGCAAAGCGGTAAGAGTGTTATAAATGATAGGCGAT